TCAGTAATACCTTACATCATTATCATAACACGGCTTCAAGATTCATATTATGATAATTAGAATTACGTATCAGTATTACTCTCCTTATCATCTTTATTATCTTCTTATTGTAGAAATTTGTTTTCTTAGGGTGGTACCAAAGAGTAAGGTATGACCACTTCATAGTATTAAGAAAGTGTTCTCAATAAGGAATTTCATTATAGTAAACATTATCATCTCTAAAGTTGAATATTCTAAAGAAAATGTCTATTAAGAAACATGACGTTTTGGATTTTTTTCTATTCTAGATAAATAGAGTTTGTTTACTCACTTGCCTTCCAGTTGAATATATACTTATTCTTATAAGATGAAGACGGTTGTAGGTTTATTTGGGTGTTGAAACCATAATTTCACAAAATCTTTTGCTTTTATTTCTTTTCATTATAAATGTCACTCAATCATTACTTCTAGATAGCTTTAAGTGTTGTTGTTTTCTTCTTCCTTTATCGTTTTGCCTGTGTTCTACCACTTCGTACCATTAAAAGAATGAAATAAGAACGGAAATCACTCTAGTGCATGCCAGCTGATCGGGAAATTTTATCATGCACGCCACTCTGAACAGACAAATAGTCCCCTTGACTTATTTCAACAAAACTGCATCACACTGGCTGGTACGAGTCAAAAGAATGCCTTTCATGCAAACAGTTAATATCACTTTTGTAATGCCAATTCAGTCTTCCTTTACTAAAGTTTTACAAAATAATGTTTACATGCATGTAATTCTTATAATTCTATAGCTTTACTTATATTCTTGTACCATGCTCTCAGACAGACATTAACTACATTCTTCTTCTTTTTTTTCTTTTTTTAGATTGGTTTATTTTAAGTTTTCGTCTTTGTAGGATTTTGATAGACAGATAACGTCAGCGTTGTAGATGCTTGCAGTAACTGTAAAGTTTGTCACAACATAGGCCTATATATACTTAGGTTTTCTTTGCCTTTTTTATCTATTTTTCCCTTTTGGATTTCTCTAGCGAGCTTTGAGCCTCACAGGACATTAGTGACTGATGAAATCTATATTGGGATAGGAAACAAAAACCGTCATTTCGAATAATTCCAAGCAAATATTACGTAGATGTCTTCGGGTTAGTAATTGCGATATCTCTACCTTATCGGCGGTGACAAAACCAGGGCTGCCCTTCGCCTTCACATAGATCATAGTCAGAGACACGACATTTATTCAGCTCATATGTAAGAGCTTTTGTTTATCACCTTATTTGGCCTTATTTATATCATGTCATTTTTTCAGTCACACCATCTGAACTTGATCGTGGGTAGATCTGTATCGTCTTCAGTTAGAGTTTTGGTTGTGCCATCCTACGGGTCAGGACTATTAAATATGCCTCTACGTGGTTCCTACGTCTAACTGGAGTGGGAGAAAGCAGTTGGGTCTCCGCATGGGACGTTGTAGTTGATGGCCAGGCTGGAGGAGCATTGGTAACTCCTTTCCACCACGCCTTCCTTCCCTTGTCTGAAGCGTGTCGGGCCAAAAGCTAAGACAGCTGTGGCTTCTTTTGCAGTATTGCTGTGTCACTTCCCGACATTTTTGTTCAGGTACAACATACCTCATGCCTCATTCTTATAAAATTCCGCTCCAAAGAAACAACCACAACCCCCGTGGCAGAAATTATTCCTAATTTCTTCTGCATCACTTGGGTAAATGTAACATCTTCCTTTATCCTAATTAGCTAATCTAAGAGTTTAATTCTCGGAAGTCGTGGGAGTATTTCTCCTGGGGATCTTCCCTGTGCTAGGACGAAATCAACGTGTTTCTACTACTTCACCTTGGTTTAGTGTCCTTTTACGGGCAAGGAGGATAATTATTTTCCCACTATGTGAGGTATTTATCTTACCCGACTTATTTCGTCCTTGATTTCTACTCTCATAACTATGGACCATTAGCAATAAGGTCCATTAACTGTTCTCTTATCAAGATCAATATCACCTATTACTTGAAAGATGACAAATGTATCCCTGGTAACTGTACTAGCGATCTCGGTGTTTGACCTGTGGCTCCTTTAGTTAAGTAAATATATCACACAGCTCCTTGTATACGTGCTTTGTATTACATGTCACTCTATAGTATACCGTTCCAGTATTCTTCTCCGTTATATTGCAGCGTTTAAGCTTTACCGTTTTATATGCGGTGTAATGAAACATGGCAACATAATACCGTAGATTTTCCAACCCCATTTCCGAGAAGAGGATGTAGACTTTCGTGAATAGAAATCGAAGGCAAATTATTTACTTTATTGTGCTTGCAAAATATACTGTACATTTTTTTTGTCTTTACTTAGATTTCAAACCATAAAATATACAATACAATAGAATACATAAAAATAAAATGGACAAACCTGGTACTGTACTGTAAATAGGCAAAACTGTCCTTGTACCCCTTTAGTAATATAATCCAGAGTGAGAAGGCGGCAATAGTACATTAATTATACTATCTAATACATGT